TTGAGTTTCTTCATTGGAGTCATTTATATAAAATCAAGCTTATTACTCAAATGTTAATTTAAATTTGAATAAAAATTTGAGTTATAGTTGAAGATGCTCTTAAGAATTGAATTCATCTCTATTACACTTTCTTTTAATTACACTCAATGTAGAAGATGTGGAAAGTGATGCCACCGTGGGAAATAGAAGCTATTGTGGAAGATTTTAGGGTCCATTGCAAAAGCATATATCTAATTCAAGAGGGTACTTCAAGTAGTAATAGAGATGAGTTGTAAAATTAGATATCATGAGTTCAAATTTTGACAACTTTTTGGGGTCAGATCATAAGGGATTTATCCATCATGAATATCTTAATCTCGGAGTGGATGACTAGCCTTTGACCAAATCGGAGAAAGAATTAGTTGAGATACGCGTAAGCTGGTCCAAACACACGTGACCGTTAAACTCAACAAAAAAAAAAAGGTTAGATCTTCAATTTTGTCACACTGCAAGTTTTTGTAATAGGACTGCCCACTGCCTGGGAGCAAACTTCATATCTCTCTAGTAATTGGCTTTGTTGCCCGCCTAGTGAGCTAAGTTTTTTTTTTATTTTCAGACTCTGATTTTGACTCTATTACTTGAATATGCATATATAAGTATTTTTTTAGTTTAAAAAAATTATATTTAATGGTAAATTATCCACTGTGTATATGAATGAAGACTTACTAATAAATAGTGAGTCTCATATATATTAATGATAAATGAACTACAATTGATTGAAATTGAATGAAAGTATGACAAAGATGATCTGAATTCCCCATAAAAACTAAAGTTTTGTACCTAACACACATCTTAGGCTAAATTTGGAGGAGGTAACGCCGTGGGCCATGTGGATTAAGCTGTGTATAGAACTGCAATGAAGCTACTCTTCAAACTGTCGGTTGTCTTTGTGGCTGCTTGGAAAATTTTTAATTAAGCAAGAAATGAAAAACGTCAAGTCACTCCAAAGATGAGAATATTTTGGAAACCACAAATCAAATCCTCATTTTTGGAGGGGCTTGTTGTGCTTTGCACCCTTAAAGATTTTAAAATTCTTATTTTACACTTTTAAAGATTAAATTTTTTATATTGCACCCTTAATTTATTAAAAATGTTACAATGTGACCCTTCTGTTAGTTTTTGTTATTTTTTTGGTCAAAAGTGAACTCACTAGCACTAATGAAAAAATTAACGGGAAGCTAACAAAAGGATCATATTGTAACTCTTTTGATAAATTGAACGTGCAATATCAAGGGTATAAAATAAAATTTATGAAATCTTTCATGGTACAAGGTATAGTTTACTCTTTTTAGAGTTTCTTCCCCAATGACATTTTTTTAATCAATTGGGTTATTTGTACCGGAGGTCCTTAAAATATGAGGTTTGTCTCATTTTGGCCCTCAATATTTAAATTGCATTATTTTAGTTCTTAAAGTATTGAATATATTTCTATATAGTCTCTCAAACAGACAACGTCCAGATTGTTAACAATTTTTAAGCATAAACTTATCACATAATACCTAAATATGGATAAAAAATAATTTTGATAGCTCATAAACAAAATTTGGGTAGCACTTGACAAAAATTGTGTAATATGAGTAGTTTTTGACCAAAATTAGAATAACTCGTGATCAAAATTGTATAATTTATGTAGCTATTTAACCAAAATTTAATTAAAAATTTGATCAAGAGTTATCCAAATTATTTTTTTGTTCATATATAAGTATCATGTGACAAGTTTATGATATAAAATCGTTAGCAATCTGGACGCTATCTGCTTGAGGGATCATATAGAAATATATTTAATATTTTATGGACTAAAATGATGCAATTAAAATATTAGAAATCAAAATGAGATAAACTACATATTTTGAGGACCTACATTGTAATTAACCCTAATCAATTCACAGAAGATTATAATAAATAAATAAATAAACAGCCAAAGACTTGGGCCCTAGAAATTAAGAATATGAGTATAATTAAAACAGACACACGAAACCATGCTTGATTGGATGAAGACATTAATTTAAGGTTTAAACTTGTAATGACCCACGATGCATTGGGGGCTCCACTCACGTGATGACTTCTTATTGGCATGTTATGTTTTTTGTAAAATGTTCATATGCCCTCACATGGGTTTTGGCAAATTAGTCACACAAACTTATCTTCTTCGACCTCTCATCCATCACATACAGAAAAAATAGATTCTTTCTTATTTATTTATTTTTTATAAAGGATTGATCATAATTTACACTAAAAAAGTTTGCATTGAATTCTTATTTTAGTTCTTAATTTTAATTTCTCTATTTTGGTCGTCTGATTTGTAACATGGGATCAATTCAGTTCAATTGACACCATGGGTTTTGGGTTTGTGGCTTGAAACTATGTCATTTAGCGTCTAAAATTAACGGTATGTGTCAATTAAAACTAATTACATAGTTCAAGAGGTAAATTGGGATAAGTGAAAATTCAAGAAGCATTTTATATAAAGGTTATAATTTCAGGGGTATTTATGAAATTTACCCTAAACTATACAATTACAAATTTCCTATTTGCTCCTAAAAGCAAACTCCAAAAGAAGTTTTTGCTAAGAAGAATGCCACTTTGATGTATTTTTCATCACATTTTTATAGGGAATGTAATCTTTAATATTCAATCTTTTAACGATGCATGTCAATTCTAATCCATAGAATAAGGCAAACACTTAGCTCGATTTGAATATAGATTTTTACAAAACTATTTTGCGTAACCAATTCAGTAATCGTATCAATTTGAATAGGTTTATCAAGAATTTTCCCTATTTTGTTGACAAAAATCTCTGTTGTCCTTAGATTAACAAGGAGTTATAATATTTTATGAAATTTAATGTTGGTCTAATAAAAAAAAAGTGAATTTGATTAATAAATTTTGGTATTAAATTTATTCCAATTAGTAAAACGATTGGCTTTGGAAACAGCACTTTAGTTATTGTCTTTCGTGTAAACACAGACTGAGTAGCACATGCACGTACCTTTGAAAGACAATCAATTCCTTGGATATCACATTTTATCTATTAACTTTACTTTGTCTTAGACTACCACGTCTCTCTACAAGGCCACTTTTTTCCAATCTTCTACCTGTATTTTACTTTCTTGGGTTTGACTAAATTTAGCTGCCTTTGCTTTACTTGTCTTTTAACTTCTAGAGAAACACAAGCCCTAAGATTTCTTTTTAGGTATAGATTATATCAGTGTTGTACTATATGTCAAAGCATTTTTTTTCCCCCAACAAACAGAAAAATATTTAAATGAGGGACATTGTGACCATGTTCCATGGTTTTTTTTTTTGGTAAGGAGAAAGGGAGAACAGCAGCTAGAAGGTAGTAACTTTTTTTGGGCGTGATCACGAGGGTCTCCCCACTATAAATATTCAGTTTGAGTTATAACTACTAATTCAGAAGAACAACCCACCAAAGTCGAGTAATAAACCGCGTTGTTCTTGTGAATTAAACCCTGTTTAATAACTACATAAAAAATAAGGACGATCTTAAACGGGTATGACATACTGATTTATAAATATGTTTAACATGCATGCGCAAAAAATTTCTTCCCCGTGATCAATAATTAATACCCGTCCTATATGCCCTCTAAAACACGTTTTCTTGGTTCTCCTCAATGTTAGATCACCTTCATCACAAATAATGTTCCCTTAAGATTGAAATTTCAAACTAACATACCTTCAACATCTCTCTTCTCTGAGGGACGGCTACAATTAGGGATTGCTTTTTCTTCATCAATCCAACTACTTTTGACTGTCTTTCTCTTTCCTTCTTCTAGCATCGACCAAAGCTTTAAAGAGGATTTAAAGTGATCCTACTGCCTCCATGGCTGACTCAGGTGGCACCAACTTGCAAATCTAGTCTTTCTTAATTGAGTGTCTACCACCTTTCTCTTTCAATACTATGAGAGGCCGGTTTGATCCCCTCCTTTGACTAGCAAAAGTAGTATAAACTGATATCTTTGGCAAATACTTCTGAACAAAAAAAAAAAAAGATCATTCCTAATGCACTAGACTTTGCTTGTAGTAGATCTGAGAGAGGTAAGTCAAAAACAGTCTTAACTTTATTTTGGAGAGAGACTGCTTCCCGGATTTAAACCGGTAACATATCTCTTTGTTTTTTTGTTACTGCAAGATATATTGGCAGCCGCAGATCATTTGATTGGAATAAAATTTGGAATGGGTACACTTGACGATATGAATCATTTGAAAAATAAACGTATTCGTTCCGTAACGAATCTTTTACAAGACTAATTCGGATTAGCTCTGGTTCTTTCCTACATATTTTTTCCACTTCCTACTTCCTCCAATAAAAAAACCTAAATGAAGTAAAAAAGCAATGTGTTTGTGCTGCATAACTGTCAATACCCAAATAGAAGTAAGAAACATTGTGCATAATCGATGGAGAGAAGGAGTTGTTGCTATTTTTGCTGAGCAATGAAGGATATAGTATGAATAATAAATGAAGATTTGAGCAGAAGAGTGGCACACTGAACAATCCACCCTGTGGGCAGCCTATTAAAGTGTCCTGCTAACTCCATGCTGTTTGGTCACTTTCTACATAGGGTTATATATCAGCTATGGCAATAATTAACAGTGATGGTGTTACAATCAGATCTGGGGAAAAAATGTGTTACAAGGAATGCCAATTAATAAAAAAAACTGTTGCTAGAAGTAGCCAGAAGCACATGGAAACAATTCAGAAAATAAAGGTTTATCTCTATTTCAAATTAAACTAGAGCAGTGATACAGTTCAGTTGCATCTTGGATATCAAGTAAGGCTTTCGAAAACTGTTGGTTGTAGTTCCACTGTTTTCCATTGTACTGTTTGGTTATGCAATGGTAGCAAGCATACAGCAGCCATGGAAGCACAGTAAAATTGCCCTAAAACAAAAACATGATTGCTTGTACAGATACAATCAAACATGTCACTACAAGTTAGCATTCAATGCATTCGAATAGGTATCAAAAGTTAAAAACGAGAAAAAAGATGATCCTGCAATTTAAGTCACAGCTAAAATCAGGAAGTTTGGTACAAGCCCCACTATCATGATGTTTAACAACATTATCAGCAAACAATGGCGAAGTGAACAAATCTTGCACAAAGATGAATATTGTGGGATGCATGATCAATCCCCTTTCAAGCTATTTGCAAAATGCCCATCATACATTGTTGGTCCTGTTTCTGGGACACTATATAGATATACAGCTGCTTGTATTACTTCGAATTTTGACATTATATACATGGTCAAAGTGAAGTTTGAGTCGGCGCAAGTCAGTTACCTGGAACATATCTGCAAGAACCATACATGTAGATAATTGCGCCTTGGGCAATGACTATTATCAAAAGAAAGAACACCTTGCAATTTCATTAATTGCACCACCCCCAATTGCCAAGAAGCCTCTATTGTAATCCCTATTCTGTCTAGTTACGAAAAGAAAGTTGGGCAGGGTTCATCACATTTCCCTTAATTTGACAAAGACGAGCACTATCCCATGTACTACTAATACTCTCTGGAATCCTCATTTCTTTGTGTAGATGGGGAACTTGAATTTCCATTTCTTAGGCTTTGAAGTTTCAAGTTGTTCCGAACAAAGACAAGATCTTCCACTCTTCCCACTCCCAGCCCGTAGGTCTTTTCTCTACATGGATAATCAGCATCTTGCCAATTCCCTTGGCACATTGCAACACAAGAAACCTGACTCAGAATCTTTATGGCTAGTGTCTGCAGGTGAGGTGTTTCAAAACCAAAATTCTCCCACCATACCACTGGGTCCATTTTATCTCTGCAGTCCACAGCATCTTCCTCTCCTAATGGTCCTTCTAGTCGACAGTACAAACTAAGCTGCTCTCTAAGAACTCGTCTGGCTGCACTGTCATGTTCGTATCTCTCCAGGGTAGCTTTCCAACCCCGCATTACTGTTTTATCCTTTGTTTGACTCCTCCCAAAGTATCTGGGGTTTAGCATATAACCAGCAGCATGAAGAGGGGAGAATAACATATCCCACCTGTTCTCAATTAACACGTCTAGTTGATTTAACACACAGTCATCAATTCCCTTACTCTTCACAGCTTCAAGTGCCTGAAACCTCCAGTAATACACATCACCCATGACAGATTTGGCAATGTTAAGTGTCGCAAGCAAATTCAGAAAAGGCTCGAACAACTGCAACAATAAATTGGCCTTGCCCCAAAAATCATCCCCTAAAATGGCAGCTTCAATATTAATAGTGTCTTCTTTAGTAGTAATCTTCCATTGCTTCCATTCTTCACTGACAACCAAGTCTTTCAGTGCTTGCTTTAGCTCAAAGATCCTATGGACTAAGCAGAAGGAAGGAGCAAGTTTGGCAGAAACTGAATGAAAAATTTCTTTCAAAGGTGTAATTTTCAACAGAGAAGAATGCTGGTATGTTTGTATGCGTTGCTCAATCTCCTTGGCACACAAGACAACAGATTTTATCCACTCCATTTCAGCTATGTACTCCATCAACAAGCGAATAGAATGCAATGTGCAAGGAGACCAAAATATGCGAGGAAACTTTGACAGTTTATAAGAATCTGAGGATTCACTGGCAGCGCCTGGATGTGAAATTATCTGAAGCACATTTGTGGACCCAACCTCCATGATGGCATCATCAAGGACTTCCGTGAATAAATTGTTTGCCCTGTCCCCTTCATTTGTATTTACTTCTTTCAGGAACATCAGTCCCCTAGGACTTGAGACAAAAATAGTAACACTCGGGCCGCTAAGTGAGCCTTCCCGCCGATTAAGGCAAAGTATTGAGCAGGCTGTGTGAGGCAAGGACTCTCTGATCAAAGCCATGGCTTTCTCAATCCTTTTTCTCTCTTTACTCAAAAAGTAATCAGATAACTCATGCGTAGATGGGGGTCCATATCCAGGGCCAAAAGCCGCGATTGCTTTAGCCATTTCATGAAAGTAAGGGGAATTGACAATATTGACATTCAATCCACCAGCATAGAAAAACCTGGCCACGATGTCATCTACATCCTCCTTTTTTATAGTTTTCAAACCACGTATCAGATTTGGCTGTGAAGTTCGTAAATGCTTGCCAGGCTTTTCACATCCAGAAATTCTTTTTGTTTTCCTTGCAAGTCGCTCTTCATCTAAATTATGAAATGCTTCCCTCAGTGACCCATCTATTGCTGGGCAGCTTTTGACCCCTAAACCTGTGAATCCAAGGAGGTGGGCTCTAACACGTGAATACGATCCATTGTATCGTATATTACAGTGGTTACATTTCCACCTTTTTGTACCGCTTCCCTTGTCAAACCCACCAAACACACTAACATGTTTCCATCCCCACTTATCAGATTCTGAAGGCATTTTTCCAAACCTGAGTCTCGTTCACCATCAAAGAATAAAGAACGAAACGAAATAAATGTTCACTAGGTTAAAAAAAAACCCCACCATGGGATTGTGTACTATAAATTTGAATAATTTTCAGAGTTCTTCTGAGAGCTTTTCAAAATGCACATGCTAACATGAAAAAATAAGAAATAACATATATGTAAATACGAATTATAGGACAATCATAAATAGGACAATCTACTTTGGAGTTGACCTATTTGACAACATATCTCAAAGAGTATTAAAGTATATTATATTTTTCAACTACAGTGAAGAATCAGTATTTAAGATTTATAGACAATTTCCTAGTTTCAAACTTCCCTAAATGCTATTAAGCTTCATGATGGGCACCTTGGTTTTTCACAAAAATTTCTAAAGAAATTTCTGAAAGTAGAGTTTCAAAAATTAAAAATAGTTCCTTCAATCAAGCATTTGCAGCATTTTAATGGAACGGATTGGAAGAAAGGTTGAAAATTAGTAGCAGGTTAGCAGCAGAAATCTATTTGAGAAAATCGATAACATGCAATCCAAACAAGAAAATATAGGTACATACGAAAGTTTCAGTATATCAAAAACATCTGAGTCATTTCTCTCTATCAAGAAAATAATCCACCACAATAGTCAACTGGATTTTTGCATGGAAAACCATCATAGGAAAAACCACAGACATCGTCCACGATTCAATAAACTCTACATAACTTCCTAAGATACAAACAAAATACAAGATACAAACACAATACATTACTAACCCAACTTGATTCCCTTCGATTGTCAGGCAATGTTATACTATCGACTTACACTGTTTCGATCAATCCCACCATGATCTATTCACGTTGTCACATAGAGCACTCCTTCTGATTATCCGGAGATGGAATACTATTGCCTTATTATACTGTTCCAATCAATCTCACCATGCTCTATTCGTGTTGTCACATAGAGCACTCTTGGTGGGACGTTCCAAAGTTGGTCATCAGATGATCTCAGATATAGTAATAGTCTAAGCTGTAACCTTCTTCACAGCTTCTAAATAATCAGGTTCCTAGCCGGTGAAGTCCTAGATATTCAGCACATTTCTGTTGATACTTAGAACACAAGTATATTTCTCTGTCTTACCCCCAACAGAAATTATATTGTCCTAAATCACAGCATCAGACACACAACCAATAATACTATACATCCCGGTTTCAACATCCAAATAAGCTGTCCTGGGCTGCTTGGCTCTTATGTTACTGTTTTCAACTGCCAATGCTGAATATGAAATACCATTCCCTTAATTTTTCTTCTTCTCCTTCTATCAATCATTTTCGTTTTTTTCCTCTGGTTAGAAAGGAGGCTGAGAATTTGTTCGTGTTGTGTGTCCCTTATGCATATCTTCTTCAAAACATCACAAACTATCCACCACTTATCCAGCAGAACGTACGGATTAGGACATTGAGATATGGTAAAGTTTAAAAATATAAAACACTGATATCATAAAGATATGTATATTAAAATAATATGATATATTTTTTAAATAATAATAGAGTTATACTATATTAAAAATAAAGCATATATAATAATAATAATAAGACCCAACAAATATTATTTTTTGATTAAAATAAAAATAAATCAAAATAAATATTTATTATTTTCATTAAACATCGTTTTTTTTTAAAAGGTATTCATTAAACATCGTTACATATATAAGTTATATAACAAAAAAATATATTAAAAAATTAGAAGTTACACCCATCAGCATTCATATATATATAAGTAATATAACAAAAAAATATATTAAAAATTAGAAATCAAGACGCTTTTAATAGTTAACAGTTGCTTTTAAAAAAAAAATCTGATCGTATTCTGGCCATGTCCCACGACGTCCTGACCGACTAAATTTACTATTCATGAAAGTTCTATCCGTGTCCGTCGGGCGTACATGTCCGACGGGCATCACAGCATCCCTCTGGGAAGTATCTGTGCTTCCTACCGTGTGTGTGCTGCTAGCCATAATCCAACAGAGCAATAAATGATCACATAAAATGGCAACTCAATGACAAAAGTTACAGAAAAATTAAAACTTGAAATAAACAAGATAACAAATGTAGTTAATTATACACAAAATATTAAATGCGTTCACAAGATTAAAACTAAGTGACCAAAAGAAAAAACAGATTCAAACTCAACCCCGAAAAAGATGACAATAAAACCCTAATTAATGTTGCGAGGAAAATTAGAGAGAGAAAAGGGATTGATTAATCACCTAAAAAAGGGTAATTCAGAGCGAGAAAATAGGAGATTTCCACTGATACATCTATGATCTTGCTGGCGGAGTGGAACGCCTTTCTTAGAGGAAGAAACGTCGCAGAGACTTCTGAAACCTGGCGTTTCGTTTAAGGGTCTGTGAAACTGGTTTGAGACGCAACCTTTGGAAGGATTGGGCTCTTCGATGCAAAAAAAGAAACGGGGGGTTTCCGTTTCTTTCTTTTCTTCTTTTCTCCTCTTCATTATGACGCAATCAAACCTCTTTCTTGGTAAACTAGCAATGCATGTCTGTGTGTTGCAAGAATAATTTTCGTACACAAAAAATTAATAAAAAAGTATAAAGTGTATATACATCTATATACCTAAATTAAATATTATTTTAAATTTATCAATTTTATTTTTTTATGACTAAAATTGTATTATAGAATTATAAAAATTTTGTCCGTTTTCAATGATTTATTGGTCTAATTATAAAAAAAATGATTAAAAATAATAATTAAAGTTCTATTTTTTAGAATTTTAGGATTGAGAGTGATTTTTTATGATCTTTGAAAAATTAAATTTCTTATAATTTATTTGATTAAGATTCAACTTATAATTCATTGATTAAATTAAAAAAAAATTATCAATAACTTAATCATATTGAAAACTCATTATAATTAAGAATTGGGAAAATTTCATTCACACCTCCTATAATTAGGTCTAAATTTAATGACACCTCTTTCTGATTTTGAAATTTCACTGTCATCTCATGTTAGTATTTGTCAGATTACAGTGTTAACGGTGATTGTTAATTTACAAAAATACCCTAAATTTTAAAGTGTAAATTTTATCCACACCTCTTATAAATAGACATAACTTCAATGACCCCTCCTATAAATAAACTTATGTTTAACAATACCATTCCTCATTCTCAAATTTCAATACACACCATTTTAGTTCTATTATATTAACATTTAGATTCATCAATGTAATATTTAATTTAAATTAAATTAACATTTTATCTCATCAAATCAACACAAATTGATATTTAATTTTATCAAATTAGCATTTAGTTATATTAATTTAATATTTTATTTCATCAAATTAATATTATTTCTTTAATTTAACATTAAATTATTATTTAATTTCATTAAATCAACATCAAATTGATATTTAATTTTATTAAATTAAAATTTAATATATTAAATAGAATATTAAATTCTATTAATTTAACATTTAATCTTATCAAATTAATATCATTTATTTAATTTAACACCAAATGAACATTTCATTTCATTAAAGCAACATTTAAATTTTATATATAAAAGGTGATGTATGAAGAGTGGTTAGATAACATTTTGGAAGACAAACGATAACAGAGAAATTAAAAATGGATAAAAATTTGACATTAATTTTATCGATTCTAATTTTATTATAAAAAAATTATTTTTAACTATAAAATAAATTTAAAACCCTCTAATTTATAACGAACTACAAAAAATATACCATAGAGGGAACTTAGGTAACATAAGAAAATAAGAAACTGACAAGTGTACCTCTTACCCAACAACTTATAAAAAAATAGACGGAATAATGTAAAAGTCTAATGGGTGTTTTGAATGAAAAAATTTGAAAAATTTGCATGAAAAAAAAAAATAAAAAAACAATTGCATGAAAAAAATTAAAAATATCTGTATGAAAAAAAATAAAAATAAAACTACGTGAAACAATTTTAAAAAATCTACAGGAAAAAAATTTACATATCTACAAGAAAAAAAATTTTGTACCAACTTAGGTAGTGATCGATCACTCCGAGAACAAGTTGAAGAATAATGAATGACTCAGTCTTCTATGTCTTTCAACAACCCGAGATTGTTTTAGACCTTCACAAACAACCAAATATGTGGTATATATATTGGGAAAAAAGTTGAAGGTATTTTATTATATTTACGTAAGGAATGGTAGTTTTGACATTTTAAGAAAATTTATAGTGAAACTGTTACTTTTTGTACTTATAGATTTTAAAATTACAATTAAGAGAGTGTCTTTGATTTGAAAGTATAAATTAGGAGTGTAGTAAAGTTTCAGAATCGGGAGGAGGTATCATTGAATTTAGACCTAATTAGAGGGAGTTTAGATGAAATGTTTCCTTAAGAATTTGTTAGGTCAATTAGAATAAAATATACTACTAATATATATATATATATATATATATATATATATATATATATATATATATATATATATATATATATATATATATATATATATACTAGTCATAACCCGTGTCTGAAGGCACGATAAAATTTAAAATTCAAGCGTCTAAAAAATCGATCCCACTATATTACATTTTCTCAAAATATATTACCTACAAATTAATTAAATATTAAATAATAAAATATATGATAGAAATGAGTAGTGTGATATTTTTAGAGAAGAAATATATAAATGATTAAATATGTGATAGAAATGAGTGATGTGATTTTACGATTGAGTCTGACAAAGAGATGATAGGTGAGGTAAGTGATTGGTGATGATTTTAAGGGGAAAAATATGACTAGGATAGAATTCAAACACACTCCTATTTTATTATATATATATAGAGAGCAAATGTTATAGGATAATTTAGAAATTTAAACACAGATATAAATAGTCATTATAATTCTTTATAATGGTAAAATAGTGAATCAAAAATTTTACACGTTGAGGTACTTTTATTGGTAGTATAGATATTGATATAGATGTATAATTCTTTGTAAGGGTAAAATAGTGAATCAAAAAATTTTCATATTATGATACTTTTATTAGTAGTATAAATATTTAACATAATGATCCTATTATTCCTTATTGGATAAGTTTGTATGTGTTTGGTAACGTTTTCATTTATATATATATATATATATATATATATATATATATATATATATATATATATATATATATATATATATATATATATATTTTAATAAAAAAACAAAAATTATAAAACAATTCATAAAATAAAAAAGAAGTGAAAGAGGGGGGCTTTTTATACTCAAGTAATAAAATCTGTTTTTGTTGTTAAAGAGGATCGATGCCAGAATGTCATTAAATCCCTTTTTGAAGCCCGTGCATGTTTTGTTTTTGAAACAATATAACATACCAATACTGCAACTCATAAACACATAAAAAAATAGACATATAAATTTAAATTTAAAATATCCATGGAAAAACCAATCATAACACCAAATGGTATTATAAAAGGTATAAACATGATTCCTCATTATGACTTAAAAAATAAGATTATATAAATGTGAGGAAGACATCTGATGTACCTCTTCTATAATAACAAAATGGAAGATGGATGAAACTTCTGTTACGGAATGGAGATGGAGGAAACATCTTGTATGCAATGGAAAATGAAGTCACAATCAAATAAGACAATAGAGCAGTTTCAATAACTTCTGTCATTGAATGAAAGAGGAAAATAGAGTTTAAAATTCAAACATGCTATTCAAAAAAATTAGAAAATTGAATTCCACAAATAATTGTCATATTTATCTCTCATGAATAAAGGAAAAGAGTGTTTCCGTAAAATAAAAATTTTAAAAATAACAAAAATGTATTTCCTCACCAAATATTTATACAAAAAAAGTACTTATACATAGATGTTTTATATTGAGGTACTTTCCCATAAATAAGTAGGAAATGTTGTACCATTTCACAATATTCCTTTTATTAATATACTAGCAATTGTCCGTGTCTAAAAATACGGTGTTACACGTAAATTAGTTACAAATATTTGTTCATACATAAATGTAAAGTAAAATATAATATTGTAGTAAGCGACGAAAAAATGTGTTTGCGAATTTTTGTTAAAACATCAACTTACATGCATAACATATATTTCCACATTAAATTGTTACACCACGAAAATTATGTTTTAACTACTGAAACATAATAATTTAAATATCTGAAAAAATATATTAGTTGACAATATTCAATGTTCTATTTTTTATTTAAAATCCACAATTTCTATGTTCATAATCAATTTTATTTAAATAATAACAAAATTCATAACTAATAGAATGAAAATTAAATCAATACTCTCACAAATAAACTAAGTTTGCAGATCCACATTCAAATAATAAAAATATAGAGAAATAATGTTTACCTAAAAAATATTGCTTCATCTGTGTAGGTCTTATTCATAGTAGGTTCAGTTGAACCTCCATGTCTTCTAATGTTGGTGAACAGAATATGTCAATTTCGATATCTGTTAATGTCTCGTCCAATTCTATCATATCTATGAAAGTCATTTGCAAACTTCTTATTGATTATGTCAATTGACCATATAGATGGAAGCGTGCTAACAAAATAATATTACATAATTGTATTATTTGACATAAAACCTTCTTGTTGCAGTTTATAAAATAATTCCTCTTTCTTTTTTATATGATCTAGAACATTCTTTCCTTGACACATTTTTTTCTGCTCAAATTGTATTCATAATTGATGGATATCGTGTAAAACCTGGTAAAAAAATAGTATTATTATTATTAAAAATCTTAATATAAAGGGTAAAATAATAATTAATGGTTAAATTATGGATCAAAAATGTAAATTTTTAAAAAAATAAAGTTATACTATATATATAAGGGAAAGACAAAAGTCTTCCACTTTTCTTCTTCCAGTGTGCTGCCGAGAGAGTGAGAGAGAGAGAAAGGTGAGTATTGTTTTATTTTTTCTCTTTTCTTCATTCTCAGATTTACAAAGATTGGTCTGTTTAATCGCTTCAGGCCAAGAATTAAAGTTGCTCTATTTAGCGATAATTACGCAACCACACCAAATATCGTATTTTTCTCTGAAAGAATATCAAAGACGATAATCTAGACCTAAAGTTTGGGAAGTTAAATTGGGCTTTCTCGGAGTTCCAGTACGTGGGCTCACGCTACGAGAGGTAGGGTTTCCCCTATTTAGATTTATTTTCAACCTAAAATATGACATATGAAATAGGTAGGTTATGGGTGTATATCACATGTTAGGTCTTGACTAGTGTAATTAGTGGATCAAATATATGATTTATAATCTTATTATGATTAACTTGGTGTAAGTTAATGTTAGTGGATTAAAACATGTTAATTGTACATTATCATTATTTTATATTTTAAATGACATATCAAGTTTAATGAAATTATTAGCTTATTATGTGATTATGGAATAATATGTATGTTAAATGATTATTTAGAATATAATTATTGTGGTGGACTTGTGCTTATGTTTATAGAATTGATAAACATGTTG